AGTACTGTTCGTCTGGAGATGCCTACAACAATTTCACGCTAATAAACTTGACTTCACTAACAATAATATAATATTATGAACTTTTGTTCAATGATTTCCTGAGTGTTTGCGGTTTTGGTCGTCCTTCCGTGGATACTTCAAGCCTGTACGACCACGTTTGAACTCATTCTAGCCAAATTCAACGGTGTGTTTTAAGTTGAGGGACTCTTATCACATCTAACAGGTTCATAATTTTCTTCACTTTAAGCCTTTCAAACAAAGAGTCTAATCACTGCGCGTTATTCAATTTTCATATTAAAAATACTCTGACACGTCAACTTAAATGTTGTAAACAAAGACTTAATTGACAGAATGAGTTGTAACTTGCATGTGTTCTCACAGAGAGATACAAAAACAAAGTAGCTATCCGGTTCGAGTCTAGCAGTAATTTTAGCAAACCAGTATGAAATATTATTATCTTGGTAAGTGTTTGAAGGTACTGTCAGTAAGTATAATTTGTTGGATATTACACTTTTATGATTATGTATACAACTATTGCATCCTGTAATGGAATTTTAATAATTTTAGTGTTACGATTTTATATAAAACTGCCTTTCCCTCCTCAACAAAACCTTTAACCAAACCTAAAGTGAGTTTCTTGATTAATTAGCTCCGTACTACTACACTGCCGTCACGCTTTAGAGTTGATAAGCCCAGCTAAAGTCTAAGCCAGCCCTCGAGATACTCATCTTCAATGAGTGGTCTTAACATGAGACGTGCTGGAGTCGTCTTGGTGACCCTTCAACTTGTCGCGCCTCTCTTAATTACTGTGTCATTATCAAAAACACGTGGTGCAATTATATGAACACACACAGACATGCTGTTGCACATAATAAACGACACACTGTGACATAACAGTTAAATTATGAAAATGAAAATTAGTTTTCCACGCATCGGCGACAAACACACACTAGGCACCGCACGCGACAGCGACAAATAAACAAACAAACGAACGCCCTAGCCAAACCAGCCCACCTTACCTCCACCGCGACAATTGTCTCCACGACTGAATTGCACTCACACGTGATAATTCGAGCAGATTGTCGCCGTGGCGTTTAAATTAGTTGCAAGATCGTTTGTGGCAATGTGCGTCGGTGGAATCGCCCGATCGCTGAGCGTGTGTGGACGGTGCGTTTGCTGCTCGAGCATTGCTTTCAATTACGCACTTCAGCTGTGATGATTTATTTTTGGTTCCTACCGTCACAAAAGTCAACCGAACGGAAGACACAAGCGATGTAAGTTGTAGACAGCCAGTCCAACTCAGCTGACGGTTGTCTTTCGGTATTGTAGGTGAGCGGGTGGTGGTGGAGCATAAGCAGTGGTACGATTTAGATGAACGGCGTGTACTCAATCATACCTTCAGTGATTTGTTAGAGCGCTATTTGTGCATGAAAGTCGGCAGGGAAATATGCCCAGGTGTTAAAGAATGACTATAATTTTTAAATGTAGGAAGGAAAATTCTTTTCCACAAAGAAATATAATTTTATCGATGTTAAAATACGTATTTAGGAGCAGAGTCGAACTTGCTTAGGCGCCGGTTAAGCATTTTATCAGATTTATTTAGGTGAAATCAGTGAATATCTTATAATATGTTTGCTTCTTTAGGTTATAAAATGGTTAATTGACTTTTCACTTATGCGGGAAATACAGTCAATATTTAATCAAATTCCTAACAATTTTACTTAACAAAGAAGTAGTACGGTGCCAAGTCTAGCAGTTTATCAGGTTGTGTTATTTGACCCAAGATGGTAAGCGACTGTGGAGGTGTAATCGTAAATGTTGTCATGGTGGATGAGCACTTTTCATTGCAAATGAATCGTTTACTAGGCGTCGACTTGCCTAATCTCATTACGGCAGTAGGTTTAGTAAGCTCTTTCAATTGCGTTTATTAGCTCTGTTATGAATGACTACGGTTACGCCTATTGTGCGTGGTGAATAAATGTTGCCCTGTTAGCTGATAGCTTTCTCATGACTATTTTATACAGCATATACCCATACCTTTGACACACTATTGTCTTAGCGATATCGATTGTGAAATTTTGTCACGTTATCCACTGTTGTAGTTGTTTCGGAGCACCTGGAATGCTCATCAAAACCGACATTTGACCACGTTGAAACAGCAAAACTACTGTTAAGGTTGCATCGGAAGGGAAAAAGAATCAGCGAAGGCAGACTTCAAGATTATGGTTTTACGCCGCGATTTTTCCATGATCATATAAATCATCAATCGATAACGATCTTTTCCATTTTCTCAAAACAAAAACAAGCTGTTTGGCTACAGTGCACTCAAACAGATTACTACAGTCCGATTCGTCTGAAATTTCAGTAGCCGTTTACGTGAGAATATACTACATGAGTGATAATGCGGCTGGCGGCTATGAGTTACATCGGTCTTCCTCGTACGTACATATGTATATGCATTTATTTTCAGAAATATTTCAATCTTTTCCTACTGTTCCATAGTTTGTTCATTATCACTCAATTTTAGTTATCAATCACCCAAAGGAGTCAAAGGCCGAGGACTGAACTAATTAAATCGACATGACACTCACCCACACAAATACACATCTGCAGAGTAAAGACCTAAAGTCAAATTGACGGTATCAGTCGGAAGATGAGAAAATTATGACATTAGAATTTTATTGCCGTTCATCAAATGATTTACACGAATTTTAATTGCTTGACGTGTGTGTGGGCTTGACATGAGTGGAGTGCTGTCGCATTATATATATAAATACATACATTACATACAAGTTGAAAAATTTAAATAGACATAAGCTGGAATTCAGGAGCATCATATGTTGAAAATTGGGCAGTGACTCTTAGACTAATTAAGCGGACAACACACAACATGCACACTATTACTTTCTGGTAATATATGGTTGGGAATATCTGTTGACGCAGCGGGTGAGCTACAGCACCTGATCGCATCGATTGTCTTGAATCAAGACTGTTGAAGTGCCACCATTTGAAGTTTATGACATTTTCGAAGTGATTTCTGAATATTTATATAAACATAAATACGTAACCGAACGAAGCACAAATTTTTTTACTTATTTTTGCTCTATTTTGTCTTTCATTTTTTTTATTTCTTTGCATTTTATTTCTCAAAAATATGGCGTTGTGTTTATTTTATGGCATATATTTGTGAAATTAATAAATTTTCTCGTAAAAAATATAACAAAATTTAGAGCTTACTGAAAAACTTAGCAGATTAACTTCTGGTATAAGGCTGAGTACAAATAGCACATCCAATATACATTCATTATTCTTTTTTTTATTTTTGAAAAATTGTTTTAAAAGTATTTAATTTTTCAGAAAATATTTAAAATATTTTTGTTTTTTTCAAAACTGACTCAAAATAATTTTTATTTTCAAAAACTTGTTTAAAAAATTTCTTTTTAAATTTATTTTTTCACAAAATGTTTTAAAAACTTATTTATTTTTTAACGTATTTTTATTTTTTCAGAAATTATTAAAAAAATTTTTTTCACAAAGTGATTTAAAAAATATATACATATGTATTAATTTTCAAATTCCAGAAATATTTTTTTTAAACTTTATTATAATTTTTTCTACTTTTTCAAATAACTTACTTTTTCAGAAATTATTTAAAATAATTTTTGTTTCCCAAACACTAATTTAAAATATTTTGATTAAATCTTAATTACAATTTTTTTCACAAATTGGTTTGAAAATTTATTTAATTTTTCAAAAAATAACTTAAAAGTATTTCAATTTTTTTTTTTAGAAATTATTTAAAATATATATTTTTTAACTTAGTTTTATTTTCCAAATCATATTCAAATTGTTTTTTTTTTCAATAAATGATTTTAAAAAACCTCTAAATTTTTTTCAACTTTTTCAAATATGTTATATACTATCAAAAAAAAAAATTTTGATAAAAATATAATTGTAATAATTTGATAAAAATTTATTTTAAAAAAATTTTATTTTTAAACATTTAAAAATATTTGATTTTAACAAAAAATAATTTTAAATATTTTTTCTTCAAGAACTGAATTAAATATATTTAATTTACATTTTTTTTTTAAGAATTTATTGTTTTTTTCAATGAGTTACAAATTTTTTTTTATTTCAATAAGTAATTAAAATTTTTTTTACTAAAATAACTTTCCGAAATTCAATAATATAAACATTATTGGCACTGACTTCAATTAGGATAAGTTAAGTAATTTACACTGTAGTGTGAACATGGCCTTACAAGCTGTTATTTACCTTTTTTGCAGCAAAAAAATAACTATTTTTATTATAAAAACCAGAAATTTGTCACAAAACCATTCATTTATCACATTGCCATATTTTTAATTTATTTTTTGTTAATATGAGATTTTTTTAATGGAGCGCTGTTGATTACTATATATGTAAGTATGTGTTTTGTACCATTTTGCGTTCGTCATAACTTCAACGTATACTACTGTGTGTTGTTGTTGTTGGTTAAGTTTTTATAATATTGTGTATGTATGTATGTATGTATATACTAAAATTTTTTGACAGCTTTACATTTTATTTTATTATGTATGTGAGTGTGTGTGAGGTATTACTAAATGAGCCATTGAAATAAATCGTTTTTAAATCCTTCACCTATATAGGTATGTATATACATATATTTATATGAGTGTGTATGTGTTTTGATTTAGCTTAAAATATTTGCTTTTCATTTCCGACTGTTTTGCCTTTGCTTTCAAGTGTTTTATCTGAGTTTTAGAGTGACTCTCGCCAGCTTCTCGCTAATTATAGTTAAAAATTTATTTTGAAATTTTCAAAATTCTGACTTTCTTGTCTAGCAATTTAGATTTACTCTTTTCTTTTTGCATATACTTTTAATAAATTTTCAATATTTGTTGTATTTTTTGTATTGTTTATAGTGGAAGGGTTGAGTTAATACCTAAATTGTATGTAGTAATAATTAATTAATTAATTTGTTATTTTTCTTTTACTTTTTACTTTTCGTTTGCCTAATTCAACAATTGCTTAAATGCCGCTACTAAATCATTACGTTACGTTACGTTATGTCACGTCACACTTTATGCCGACGCGCATATTGCAAGACTAATAACTCATATATCCATCCGTCAGACAATACATTGTATCGTTCTTTTTGGTTTCCGGTATAATTAATTTTTTAACTTTGTTTTACTTTTAACTTTACTTTATGTTTCTTATGCGCCAATGCGTCGATGCATGTCAATATTCAATATTACCATTAATGTAAGCTTTTAGAATATTTTAGAATGGATAAAATGCAGCTATGCTGGAAGTACTAGTAAAATTTAGTATCACAGTATTTTATTATAAGATCGAATTCATATAATTTTATTTATATATGTGTATGTATGTATGTGTAGTTGTGTATGTGTGTGAATGAATTCGTGGATGTACATATGTATTATGTGTGGATCTTTCATGTATTTACTTGTATTGCAATTATTTTGATGAAGGTTAAAATTTTTAGAGAAAAAGTAAAGTAACCAAAAAAATAACAAGTACATATAAAAAATATTTTCTCTTTTCACATATAAAAAATTTTATAAATAAATATTAAACAAAAATTTTTTTAAATATTAAAATAATTTTAAAAAATATATATAAAAAAGTAAAAAAATATATAAATATATAAAAAAGTAAAAAAACATATAAAAATATAAAAATTAAAAACAAATATATAAAATTTTTTTTTAAATACAAATAAAAAGTTTAAAATTAAATAAAAGAGTAAAAAAAAAAATTGTTTTTTGATTATTTCAAAAACAAAAAAATCCTAAAAATATTTAAAATATTTCAAAAATATAAAATTAACTGCTTTTAGCCTTAAAATTCTTTCGCAAAAAATTACATAATACCGTTGGCTTACGGTAAATAAATTTATTATTTATCTAAGCACCTATGTATGTGTATATATCTATATAATATAGTATACTTTTAATTTAACTCTTTGCTACTAACTACTCGTACTACTAAATTTAAATGACTACGGTTCTTTAAGTTGCATCACAAGCGCTCCCAGACATACAAACATATTTGCATAAATACCACTATGTAAATTTACCATAGATATCATCACCTAAAATCAAGTTTATATATAAAATCATACAAACAAAAATAATAAAAAAAAAGAAATACACAATGACGTAATATCAGCCCCAGAATATCAAATGTGACTTCCTTAAACCCCTCGACGACACGACACGCTTTCATTCCCAGAGAGCTCTTCGTTAACACCGGTTGCAGACGAAAAGCTCTTGTAAATTCTTCTTTGAATATTATATCCAGCTTGCACTTAGTCCTAACTAAGGTATTAACCGTATATTCACATGCCAACTAAAGTTCGCTCGTCTAATATGCAATAAAGCATTACAAACACTCACTAAACAAATGTGTAGAAACTGTTGAAGTTGAAATGCTTCAACGGATATAAATCTGGGGATGTTCTGATTCTATAGACCTGATTTTTATTGGTTAAACTAAAATATACACCTTTCTCTGCGGAACAATCGTATCTGGGTGCTACAAGCAAGACTATACCTGGTACTCACTTCTAGACAAGTCTTAGATACAAGTTACTATAACAACATCAACTAAATCGTCCATCATCATAAGATTACTTGATATACGGAGTCACTCTACCAGCAGAGGTAGACCCGAAATGGACGAGGAAAAGTTCTGTAACTCTTATAATTCTCACAACTTGCGGCCAAAATATCAAATATATGTATAAGTTATGTATTAAAAGCCTCCATATGACCAAACCAAAAAAAAAATATATATATATACAATATATGTACAATATATGTATATATATATATATATAAAATTAAATAATCAATATTAAAGAATATACATATACAATATCTTTTGCAAAAATCACTTTTATTTAAATCGATTTTTTTCTAAGCTACCTTAAACAAAAGCTCTCGATGCAATTATGAAGTAACGATTAAAATTAACAAGTCGTAAATAAATGTCGAGTAAAAAGACAATTACATAAATTTTGATAAATTAGAATGTAAAATAAATAACGGGATAAGAAAAATAAAATAAATGTTATATGAGAACATTAACAAAATGTTGGTTAAAATTGTTCTTTGTTTAAAAAAAAAAAGAAAAATTAGATACATATATTAAATTTTCCAAAATTATTTTATTTTTTATAAATAGTTTTTATGTTTAAAATTATATTTGTTCAGATTTAAAACTTTATTTTTGAAAATTATGTATGGCACTTCATTTATGGTAAATTAAAACATAAAAAAAAAAAAAAATTAAAAAAAAACACTTATAACTTCTAATTTTTTTATTGTCTATGAGTGACCCTGTTTTGTGTTATTTCAACAAAAACATACAAAATTATTAATAGATTTAAAGCAAATTTCCAGCTTTGAAGTTAATTTCAGTTAAAACAATTTTCAAGATATAACTTAAAATTAAATTCTCGAAACAGCATGTCCCTTATAAACTGTTATTCGACTTATAACTTACCAAAGTTTTGGTGGAAACGTAAAAATAAAAACAAAAGAATTGACACGCTCGCAGAATCGGCCCAAAATACCTTTGTTTAAAGATATTCCTTTAAAAAGTATAAGTTTTTAAAATAAAGAGCGATAATTTAAAAATAAAGTATTTAAGCTTTTGAATTAAGTTTAAATTATAAAAATTTGTTCGTTAACCACAAAAAAATAAATAATTAAAAAATAGCTATCAATTAATATATGTAGATATAAATACAATATAAAGAAATAATAAAACTAAATAAATTAAAAAAAATTTGATGTATTAAAATAAGTGAACTGACATATTTGCTTTATAAGTAAATTAAGAAAAATTATTAATATGAGTAAAATATATATACGAGTACAAGAAATACTTTGAAATATTAAAAAACCATATAAAAAAAATCCAAAATACATACATACATTATATGTAAAATTATGGTGACCGATCCGCTGACTTGAACTTAAAGTACTGTTAAAACGTTGTTGTAGTTATATACAGTACATACAATAGGTAAGAGTTTCTGAAGCACGCCATTTATGCAGTTAACGGTATATATTTGTAGTTTTGCAAATGAATGCAATGTTTATGCAGATATAGTAATCTCGTTGTTTTTGTTTTCTAAACTGGTACTAATACTGTTGCGCAGTTTTATTCCTTAACACGGCAAACGCACTTACAGACACACGGTACTCAAACAAACATAAATAATCTGGAAGAGGATAATAATAATTAAACGAAAATGAAATGAATAAAAATAAAAAATAAAATATTTTAGAAGAAAAAAGTGAATATTTATTACTAAACAGAACATAAATGTAGTGAATAGAAATTAATAACAAATCAGACTGCTTTGCATTACACAGAGGAAAAATGTAATAGTTAATAAATAAAAATACAGAGTGTAAATAAGAATAATAAACAGGGTTGCAATTAACGCAATTAAAAAAATATTTGAACTAACATTTAAATTAAATTTTCTTTACTTTGCAGTTCAAAAAATCTGAATAAAATTATAAAAAAATTTTGTTTATGTTTTTAATTCCCGATTGAAAAAAAAGTATTGCCTAATACCGGAATCAAAAATCGAATTAACAATTTTATTTATTTTTAATCCCCAACCGGATTGACAAAAAATAAAATTTTGTTAGAATATTTATTTATTTTGTTAGAATATAATCTTTTTTGTTTTGCGTTTCCGCACTAGGTACGTGTTCCACCATTTTGGTTATCTTTTAAAAATGAAAACTTATTTTTGATTAAATACCAACATAGTTTAACACTTTTTGTTTTATTTGTATTTTATTGCTTTTAATTATGGCTTTTCGTTACAACTTGTAATTTGAAAAATATTTTTTATTTGTTTTTAAATTAAATTTTTTTTTTTAATTTCATAATCCGAGATGTTTGGGACTAAAAATAAAAGTTTTTAAATTTTCAGGTTTAAAAGTAGAAAATGTAGTTTTTATTAATTTATTAATATTATATATTAATAAAATTTTTAGAATTAAAAATTTTAAATTTAATTTTTAGTCCTAAAATCGGAATTTGAAATTGTGAGTCTAACTCTAATCCAAATATATGACTAAAAAAATGTGCAACCCTGATAATAAATTTAAAATACAATAATCATAAACATAATAATAAACTGATTATTTAGGATGAGAATAAATTATTGTTATTTTTACACCGAAAATTTAATTAATAAAAATAGAGAACAAAACAAAAAAAGAAAAAACAATGTTAAATATAAGTTAACAAATAAATGTTTTTTTTTTTAGAATTTGTGTATACGAGTATTATTATTTGTTTTTAATGTAAAGTTCGAAATATTTACACATTTTGCCACTACAGTATGCAAAAAAAAAAACATATTCGAGAACTTTAATATTGTTCTATAACTCTGTAGTTTGTTTAGTATGTGTGTGTTAGGTTATGTATGAGTATATGTGTATATGTGTTTGTTGGTTTTTGATTCAGACTAAAACGCCATAATACTTGCTTTACTTAGTTCCAGCATATTAGCTACATTCTATTCTAGAAATATTCTAGAGCAACTATTCTTATTAAGCTTTTTATTAGCAACAAATTTGTTTAAACTTAAATTTTGTTTTTTCTTAAACGCGTTACGCTCTTCTACGACTTGGCCAATTATTTCATCCATACTAAGTTCAGAGTCTACAAATTGCCACTCATCGTGCGATTCAAAACTCGACTCATAATTTGACTCAAAACTCGACTTAAAATTCGTTTCAAAACTCGACTCCAAATTCGATTCAAAATTTGAGCCAAAACTCGATTCAACACTATTCATGCGTTTATATGTTAACGTTTGTATTGGTATTGTTTCATTTAGTTCCATTTGCCTTTCGAATGGTATTCCACTGTATAATATATCTCTTCTCTCGGTATTATCATTAAAAACGCATGTCATTAAATAATTGATTAATAACAGTAAGCATAAAAATTGTACGAAATGTACAAATTTTACATTCTTATAGAAACTTACAACAAAAGGATGACAATGGAGTCATTCCGGAAGCGCAAATTGATCTTGTTCCATTGGTTTTTTCAGCCAGCTGCCGAGGTCTTCGCGACGAAAAGCCGCAAATAACTCTTTCTTGGCAATCTGCAAGTTGGAAAACCAATTATGTTAATAATTTTTATTGATGCCAAAGTTAACATATGTGACGTTTAGAAATAAAATCTTAACAAAAATATCATAACCTCAAATACTAAAAAGTAAAAATTGTTTCAATATCTTAGAAATGAATGATTATACATAATTTTTATACTAGGAAATATCACAAAAGTTCCCGAAAACCTCCAACCACTTACCTGGTAGTCCTTAACCCTCTCCTTTGCTTGCCCGTAATCGATTGTGAGCTTGCGATTCGGTATGCCGGGCAAATTTTTCATCAAATAGCCATACTTCATGAAGTACATCTGCTTGGTAATGCGCGATATTTGGTTATTGACCGTTTTGCCGGTAAGCGAATTCACCACCTCCACCTCACTATCACCAATCGTCCAATTGATGCCGAAATTCGGTGCCTTAGCTTGATTGCGCGGCTCAGCCGATGTGACCAAAGCCAAGCGTGGCTTATTCAAGTGATAGGGTGGCGGAAGACCTTGTATGGATTTCTCTATTCGACCGCAGACGGCACGATACATGTGCTCGGGATGCAATAAACTGCCCAAAACTATGGAATGCAAATAAATCGGCTCGATAATGGAGGCCAGCAGTGAGCCCTGTATGCCAACGATGTTCCAGCGTGCAATCTTGTCAGAGCAGGACATCGTGAGCAAACGTTCGCCCTGTAAAGAAGTGGTAAAAATTAAATTTTTAATTGGAAATCGCTTTAGTGCATAAAAAAAAAACTGTAAATGTACTCACCTGCAGTACGCCATCCCAAGTTTGTAGTCCTTCTTTGCTTTTGACCGGTATGGTGCCTTCACCCGATTCGATTTTCGTACGCAATTGACCACGCGCCTTTCTGCCGTGGCGCAACAACATATACGCATGGATTTGAAAAGCAAGAGAGCAAGCGCAAATGAGTTTAGCAAAAGCAAAAGAGCCAACAGTCCGCAGCAAAATCGTTAATTTTCAGTTTAAATGCCAAATTGCACAATATTTGTATTATCACATTAGCAATGTATATATTATATATTATATATATACATATATATATATGTATGATATTTTGCACGTTTGCACGCAGACACAGCAGTTTACAGCGTTATGGCACAGTGGTAGCGACATGAGCGAGTTCACCCAACAACGCAACGAAAGCGAACAACAAAGGTTTAACACAAAAACAAAACATATAAAGAATTGGAAATTATCGGAAAAAAGAAATTTGAGAGAAAAAAGAGAAGAAAGAATTCATTTATCGATTGTACATTGCTCATACTAAATAAAAGAGTTAAATACAGTTCATACTTAAATTTATAGCTTAATTTTCGTACGAAATTCACTCATTTTGAAATGTCAATAACGGCGCTTTAATGTAACTGAATACATATGTAAGCTTTTAATTTCGTACAAAAGATGTTAAAACGAGTTGATTTAACACCTTTGTGCCTGTATTGGAATTTTGAGGAGTTTTTGAGTGAGTACCAAAGGAGATTGCTCAATTTACCTGCTCAATTTCATAATGTACGCTTGTATCTCTAAGCGCTTGCTTTTGACCGAGCTTCTCTGCCAATTTCTGACATTGGTATTTATGTTTTTTTTTTTTGACAAATACAGGGTGCTACAAGCTATAAACCTTTTCTAAAACCCCTCTTCATTTCAGTGCAATGCACTCTAAGACTTGCCCGTTTTTATTTCGGAATCACCTATATTATAAAAATAAAAAACATTACATATGCTATATAAAAGATTTTGATTAGGTTATGATTTGAGCCAACATAAGGAAAGACAGAAAAGGATTTCGTCTAACTTTGGACTTTCTGAATGGAAGTGGAAACTATTGTATAAAAAAAACAATAGATCACAGATGTCAAATTCAAACTGAATTTCAAGCTTAACGCATATCTTGTCTTTCTCAGTCCTTATTTCCGTAATAAATAACCAACTCCTCCAAAGGAACGTAGTCCTCGTTGACGGCAGTAGTGGGCGATTTGTGCAAAGAAAAAAAAAACCGATCAGCATATCCGTTGTTAGTCACGCTGCCCTGTTTGCACCTTGAGTATTAATAAATATAGTTTAGAAGCCTACATACTTCTTAAAACGTCATTCTTTGTGCTCCTACTGGACGTTTCTTCATGGCTTGCCAACAGCATTTACACGACGAGAGCTCAAAAATTTCCATTATTGAGTTGTCACAAAAGCAAACTCACATATTTTATCAGGACGTTGCCTCTCGGTACTAAGAAGAAATCTTAGTCAACTGAAGAACCTCTCTGAAACACTTGATACATTCCAAGCCTATCTGAAAGGGCTTAAGTAAATTTATATTTTCGGTGGCATTTCTATTCTGCGAGGAAACAAACAAAAAGTTCGGTTTTCTAATATTTTTATACGAATTGTGACTTCATGAAAGGTGGCCAAATGGAGATGGGGTGGGAAAGTCTCTGGCATAAGGGCAATACCTTACAGTTTTTATTTTTCTTATACATAAATTATATCTTAGAGAGCTTAAATACCTTTACGAGCTCTAATTTTGGGTTCCAAACATCAGTCTGAGATTACCAGCGTATAAATTTGTGTTTTCCGTTTTTAAACCGAATTTTGATTTCATAAAAGCTGTACTTAGGTGCCGATTGAAGAACGAAAGCCATTGTTTACTTTCACTGTTATAAATAGGTGCTATGTATTAATATTTTTTACTTATTAAAATTCGAGTGTTGCGAATTTGAGGTTATGTTAATAAATTGTACATAATTAAGTTTATACCCACTGTCCTTGCGTCTTTTTGTGCTTTGAGCAGTATTCAAATACATTTCTAAATGATTTTTGGCAATAAAATCGAAATTATGGTTCTTGGAACTACCTAACAGCCTAAGATTAGTAGCTGTTACATTTTAAAGGCCGGAAAAAAGCGGCTTGCTTATTATTGTTACATTTTATATATAATGAAGGATACAACCTGCCTTGAAACTACTGCTTTAAAAAACTAAATTGCAGGTACTCACTCAAAAACTCTAATATATTCTCGCAAATATAACTACTGACAAGTATATAGTAGTTTTATACAATTTTTAGACTCTTACAAATAACAAAATGGGAAGCATAACTCAATTCAAATGTTCCTTCTATGAAGTTATTTTCGCTTTTGTATTTGTTTTTCATATAATTCATATACTTTTTTTTAATTTTAATTTATTTAATAAATTGTTTTTTTTTTTTAATACTTAGTAGTAGTAGTCTAGTTTGTTTAACGTTAAAATTTTGTAATTTCATTTGATTTTGTTTACCAACCTATTTGGATGTTTGTCAACACCAGTGTCATTTTCGTGAGGACTAAAAATCCGTGCATCACCACAAGGCGCTGTATTGATGTACAAATGGAAATGAACACCGGATTTTAGTTTGTACGGGTATTGCCCATTGTCTTGATTCCTCACGAAAATCGACTGATTTGCAGTGGCTATAAAAATCAAAAGTTGAAAAAAAGAAAAATTTGTTTATGCGACTTTAGTAAATACGAGATTAATTGTTTGACGCATGTCATGTTTTGCTTGTAGTAGTAGTAGTAGTAGTATTATTTGTTAATTTTCATTATTAATACAAAATATCAACTAGTATATATGTAACTATATGCTCTATGTACTATGTTCTATGTAATTGTAGGTAAGTAGTTAAAGAGGTATGCGCTTTAGTTAAAGTTGACAAAAGTAAGTGGGTTGCTAGAGTAAATAATTAGTTTGAATAAAAAAAGTATAAGGTGTTAAGTTAGGTTAATAATTATATGGAAAGAAAAAAAATTATTCCAGGATTTTCCGGCTAAATGCAAACTAGGCGTCTAGTAATATGAAAAAAAAATTGACAAAATATTGTTCATTTTACTTTACGCTACCGGCTTCTTTTCTATGCTTGCTATTGGAAAAAAGTTAGTAGAGCTTTAATATTTGTTTAGAAATAAAATTTAGTTATGTAGATGCAAAAAATATTTAGTGTATGATTTGATGAGTATATACTTAACTAAATATATGTTTAAAGGATCAGGGTTGGAGGGTTCCTTTATTATAAAAAAAATATATAATATTTTCCACGCAGTGCTTTCAGCACTATACACTTTTAATAACTAAGTTTGAGGTTAGAACTATTAAAATATTAAATACCGATACGAATATTTTCGAGACCGACTATGTAGATTCTTCTACGCTATTTTGTCCATATAAGTCTAAAGTTTGTGATTTTAAAAAACAAACTATTCAAAATTTTGTGCCTTCGTTATTTTAGGACCGATACACCGCTATCTACGTGGGGGGGGGTTCAAAAAATTTGAGATACCGTGAAAAATGCTACTAAGTAGTATTTTATTTTATCTAAGCACTTTATAAAGAGAGTACTGATCTAAAAGCGCCCTTTTTTCGGCGGTCTCCGAAATATCCAAATGAAACGTGGTAAAAATCTAACTTACTCGAATGCAGTTAAAAAAGAATAATGCTGGAATTGAAATAGAGTTGAGTTGAATCAACAATATGGATAACGGAGCTGCACTTCACGGTATGTTTTGTGGAAATTCTAACGCAAATTCTCTACAATCCATTTTAATAACAAATCGGGTTAATATATATACTTAATAAATTAATCTTATACTGTTCAGAACCCTATAAAAATATTTAAATAAACCTGTTACATAGCTATCGAAAGAAATGATTCCTTACGTCATTATAGAACTCGTTTTTTACTACCTGCCAGACAATCAAATAGATGTAACCGCAACGGATTTAACTCTGCTTGTATAATGCCTAAGAGTATATTGAAACAACAACAATATTTTGCGGGATTTTAAAACTAACCTAAAACGAATTAAAAAATTAACTAAAAAATTAAATAACGCAGAAATCAATGCCCTACCTAATATATGTATGTTTATTATTTTCCTAAACATATTTTTCTGGTTGAAAACAAACTGATAAATAATTTTGCTATACTTTTTACAGTAGTAGAACATACATATTCTATAGCTTTTAGCTTTTCTAGTTGGCTGCTGATTCATAAGCTATTTTGAATAATTTTTCCACTCCTTTTTAGATCGCGAGTCATAAAAATATTTATGAAGCTCATAAACTTAAATGTGCTAGTTTGCTAGTAACATATTTGGCTAGATCACGTGCCAAGCGCTGAGTGTATTATAAATAAGTGTCCCATATGGTCTAGTGGCTAGGATATCTGGCTTTCACCCAGAAGGCCCGGGTTCGATTCCCGGTATGGGAATTTTTTTTATTTATATATTACTTTTAATATTTTTACTTTTAAATCGAACGCATTTAAAGCTTATTTATAACAGAAATGTGTTCGGCGTGCATTTAAGATTAAATTTAACTAATTTTTTAAAGAAAATTTGCATGCAAAACTGTAGTGTAGTTATGTAAGAAGAGTATAGCAAGGACATATGTGATAATTTGTGGTAAAATGTCTAGCGAAAGCCAGATATGTCTGTGTGGGTATAAGTTTCTAGCTGCACAGTAAGCCAACCAAAGTTTTTCGGGAAAAGGCAGGTTATGCAAAGTGAAAAGTGAAATTATTTGGCAGCGATTTGAAAAAAAATTTAACCAAATTTTTTTTGTGAAATTGTTGTAATTATTATAGTTTTCCATAATATTTTTATTTTTTATATATTTCATGTTTTTTTAAATTTTTTATTTTTTTAAAATTAATTTTATTATATTTTTTTAAATAATTTTGAAAGCAATTTGAAACAAATTTTATGTAAAATCCTTGTAATTGATATATATATTATATATATTTTTTATATATTATTATTTTTTTTATATTTTTTATATATTTTTATATTTTTTATATATTTTAAAATAATTTTGAAAGCAATTTGAAATAAATTTTCTGTAAAATCCTTGTAATTGATACACATATTTTTTTATATGTGTATAGTTTTTTTTTATATATTTATAACTTTTTTATATTTGTGTATATGTATATTATTTGTTATATATTTTTATATTTGACATATTTTTCAAAATAATTTTGAAAGCAATTTAAATAGAATTTTTGGCAAACTTTTTATGCGTCATTTGTTCTTATTGTCATATATTTTTTAAATTTTGTTTAATACATTTTTTGGTTTTATACTTTTTTAATATCTTTTATATATTTTTTAATTTTTAAAATTTTTTAAATTTTCTTATATTTTTTAAATTTTTTATTTTTAAAATATTTTATTTGTTATATATTTTTATATTTTATATATTTCTTAAAAACAATTTTGAAAGCAATTTGATATGAATTTTTAGCAAAATTTGTATGAGTTATTAGTTGTAATTTTTATATTTTTTAATATTATTTTATTCTTTTTTTTTAATAACTTTTTTGTCTTTTATATTATTTTTATAATTTTTTAAAATTATTTTATTTTATAAATATATTTTTTAAATAGTTTTTTATCTCAAATTTTTATAAGTTTTTTTTTTTGATATGTACTTTCGTACAAAAGAGCATAAATCGCATTCAAACAAAAAAGCTTAGTTCTGCAAAGTGCGCTGAGCGAAATAAATAAAAAAAAACTACACTACTACTTTATCACAAACGAAAACTTGATATCTTAAGTATAAGTTATAAATGTATGTATATTTATGTACATACACATACAGTTACAAATGCATTGGTGTGCATATGTTTGTATGTATGCATATTTACAATTCCAAAGAAGAGTTGACTAAAAACGAATACGGTGTGTAGCATAAAATCAAAGTTTATATACAACATACACAAGAAAATATATGAAATTAAAGGAAAATCTGTTTCTCTTCTACATAAGTATGTAAATACTTTTGCGCTCCTCGTCTACTACGACTAAGAGAGTCTGCAATAGGGGCAGCTAATGTACGCTTCAACTTACTCTGACTGCATTGTAGTTCTAATTGAGCATATAAGTATTTCATTAGACAACGGCGCGACACGATCTCGGCATGCGAATCGTTCAGCACGGCGCCGGTGACGCTCATGTGTTCGCCACTCACACACTTTGTGCCGGTCGACACGGAAATTACCTGCAAAATGAACCAGTAAAAAAGCGAATTATTGTGTGTTAATTATTGATAAGTAGCAAAAATGGTTGGCAACACACTTTGGCTTCATTAAAATTCATGTCTTCGGTCATCACAATGCCGGCGAGCACTTTGCGTCGCGAATACGATTCCTGCCCTTTAATGACCTCCATGAATTTCTCCAATACGAGACGACCGATGGTGTCGGCATGTATCTGTGGCAACTCCATGGATGAGGTCTTGTCGTCAATGGGCAAGGGCACATTCTTCTGCGGATGCATCATTGGGCTGTAGGAGATGTTGCACAGTGAAGCAAGTGCCGCTTTGGCGGCAGCATTTTTGGCCAGCTTCTTAGAGGGACCTGAAAAAATATATAAAAAGTAATATAAAAAAAAAACATTTTTTTTCATATATTGCGTATACCTGTGCCATCGAACTTGCTGTTATTCACCGTTACAGTCATTTTGAAGCGACAATTGTTCTGCGCGCCATCTACAGTCGAGCAATCGAAGTGCACATCGTTGAAGAGCTCATAGAGCAGCATAACAGGTCCCTTATCTGGCACTTTCTTTTGACCATCCACAGTGATGGCGCTTTTATTTACATCTGTTGGCAGGTTTGGAAACACATTTCAACATTTTAAAAAAATAGAATTTTACACGAAATAATAAATATATTTTATTTAGTTTCTATTGTGTAGCTTATCTCTATACACCGTTTGAGGCTGCGGATTTATTATTTTTCATAACGGCAAGTGGAAACTTGGGACAACAACCAAACGTAGAGACAAAATATATAAATAATAAACGGGCGGATTAACGGTTAATAACTGTACGTGGGACATTAACTCAAGTTGAAGGGAAATAAAATAAACTTTAGAGGGAAATAATGCAAAAAATTGTTAGAATTAACGGAATTATAAACCAAACAAAAACCATTCAATAACAAATTTATACTTTTTAAAATAACATACTAAAATTTCAAATCGATATCTCAAAAAGTTTTTGAGTTACAGCAATTTAAAGTGTAGCCGCCCAGTGCCATCAGCTCCAGCAGTTTATCTTTAAACGCGTTTTTCTCGAAACAAAATTTTTCCGATTTTGTTTACAGTGCTTACTCGAATACAAATGATGCGATCATCATGAACTTTCTATCTGCCTGTTCTGTATATAATTATATATACAATGACCTATCGGACCGAGTTTTGGCGACCAAACGATCAAAATTTGGTGTAAAAATCAACTTTTCCTAAAATTTTGTAAATTTTTGGTATTTTTTTTTTGATCGGGTTCGATTTGTACGGAGACTATCTTCTGGTTTAACGGACATTTTTTATTTTTGACTTTCATCCAAGGAGAAGACCGGAATCACTGCAGCAGTGGAGGACTCTTATTTTTAAAAAATATTTAATTTTCCTTTTTTTTTCAATAGTTTCACTGTGTATTTTTTAAACATGTATAAATATATCATGAAAATTTCAAAACAATCGATACAGTATGTTTTTTTTAATCCCACATGGGCAGTTTTTTGGGTGTGCCCCTTGAGATAGGCTTCAAATCACGATAAGCTATTATGAAGGCGTTCCATTGCTCTACCTTTCAGAAAGCATAATTCGAAAAATCGAACATACATAGTTCATACAAGTGGAATGTTCATTTCTGAAAACAAAAGTTATTCTAAGATCTTTCTCTGCTCGCCGTGTGATTTTTGCAAAGATATTTTTTAAAAGTTCAGTAAAGGCGATGAATGAAACATAACTCTATATCATATGATTAAATTTGACCCGAACTGTTCCATTTAAACTGCGCGCACACACCGAATCTATACATTTTTTTCCCAGATTGGTACAATCCTCTTTATGTTCGTGTGAATTTTGATCTCCAAAAAAATAAAGAGAATATTAGTTTTTTTTTTAATTTTTAGTTATTTGTCTATCTTATCCAGCGCTTCTTTCAATCGCATATCCGTACCTACATCAAACGCATCATTACTAGTGATGGGACGAAGGTTTATGAAGGTAACGTCGAAACTGTCCATTGTTGGACATCGAATGGATCTCCAAAAATGAGCAAAATAACCAAAATTAGCTGAAGGGAACGCCATCTCAGCAGATTTAGTATATGCTTATTAGGGTGGAGCGAAAAAAAAATTTTTTTTTGCTTAGCCTGAGGGTAAAATCTGTCGAAAAAAATTTTTTTTAACATCAGTTTTAAAGTAAATTTTGAGTTAAACTTTTCTTGGGACAAGATTACTTTTAATTGGCCAGAACGAGTACTCTTCACAGCTTCTAGAACATTTATCAAACATTTTTTACAAAATAAAAATTTTAACTCGAAATTTACTTTAAAACTGAGGGCGCCGCCTCAACTCCACAAAGTTTGGAACATTCAAAGTATAAAATTTATGGGCCATCCGCCATACTATACTGAATAATGCCTATTCTTATCGCAGTTTAAAAACAGTGTTCTTTGCAGCACGCGAGTATATGTGTAGATCGAAGATCGACTCATAAGATAGTCGTTGAACACATTAACTCTGCTTTACCCGATACTAAGCTCAGCTTAAAAACTCTAAAATTTCGCTATTTCGAAAAAAAATTTAAAAAAATTATATATAATACCAACGCATAAAAACTAATAATAAAATATAGAAATCAATGAAATAAACAATAAGGAAACAAATAAAATAAAAAACAAATACTTGCTTGTCATGCTCAATGCACAATCGGTTACCCTCATGAAGGGTGTCAGTTTTTTAATAAATTTCGCATGCCTGAACAGTGCGTCTAAAAGCGGGACTAATTTATCCGTGCTTATGTTCTCATAATTCACAATACCGTTTTCCAGATGTTCATCGCTTGTGAAATCAAGATTACACGTCGGCTTCAGTGGTGTTAGTACGGCGCCATCTTTAAATTGTATGAAACTTCGTAGCGCCGTGGCGGCCGCCTCGATGCGTGCGATCTTCTTGCTACGTCCCTGACCCATATACTTTTGACCGTCGACCTGGAAGAAGTGAGAAGCAAAGAAGAGAAATTATTAAGTCCATGTATTTATAATATATAATATATTTATAAAGATAAGTTATGGAGAAAAAAGTTTTTTTTGTTTTTGTTTAATTAACTTTTGAAAGGCGACCATGAACCAAACTTGATTTGTGATAGTTTAAGCGTACTTACTCTCTAACATAAACTAAATGAATCTCAATCTCTCTCAATTAGTTGTTGATCACATGACTAATCAGGTGATAATCATATGATCAATCGGATGAGAATTATTTGATCAATCAAGTGATAAAAGTGATCGCTCAGATGATAAGCTGATAAGTAAATTATGAATATGAAGATAATATTACCGTTCAGATAATACAAAAAATAAATATCAGTTCACTGAACTATAAATAATACATTTTTGACGAATTTTTGGTAAACATTTTCTTATTTAAACTTTGTTTTCACGATTTCGGTCAAGTGTAAGGGGTTATACCAGTCGACTGCAGTCTAGAGATCAAAAACGTGTCTTACTTTGACAATTTATTCTGGAAATAAATAAATATATAAAATTCCTTTATTTCAGGCTTTATCTGATCAAAATTGACCCGGACTGATCACTACATCTTTACGTCATTTAAAACAATTTTTTATTATCGCCTTCAAATAGGCTCCTATTGAGCCAATGCAAGCATCTCACTGCTTAATTTTCCACACATTTGTTATAAGCCTCGACTGTGATGGCCTTCAGCGATGTTTGGTTTTTTCGGTGTTGGCTTATTTTTAGAGCACCATTCGCTGGATTAGTCAGTTTCGACGTCATGTTCATAAGCTCCATCTCGTAACCACTAATTTTGGTACGAGTCTAGTATTGCCATGCTTCATACCTAAAACATTAACCGAAATGTGTTGCGTCGGTCCATAAGAGCTGTTGAGATCCTCTACCATCTCTCTGATGCCAACACGACGATTTTCAAGCACTGTTTCTTTAACTTTTTCGATGTTATCGTCATTAACAGATGTGGATGGACGACTCGCATGAGGCGTGTTTTCGATGACTTCGCGACCTTCACTGAAAGCCTTATGACACTTACAACTTGTGTTTGTGATAGAGTAGACTTTCCAAAACAGATCTGCAATATTTCAACGTTAACCGCGATTTCTTTGAAAACCAAATTTTGAAGCCAACTTGTTGTTCAATTTGTTTTTCTATGGTAAAACTCGCTAGACAAACTTTATGCGTTGTCACCAAACCACTGCCAAACCACGCAAACTTAAAAAAAGGTTGCACCAATTTAGCAATTTTTTTATATCGATTCGAGTGGATGAGTCTTACAAAAGCTGGATAATGGTGTAGAAAATGGCAACTTGCGTCCGACAAGATTTTTAGCCTCTCCACATGTATGCCTAGTGAAGATGTCAAGTAAGAACTCTTACGAACCTAAAGGCCATACAATTTTTGAAAATCCTAGAACTGCTTAATTCCTAGATCGTGTTTTCCTATCTATTACACGCTTGCTAAGTATTTCGTCAAAGCTCGCATTAATTTACATATATTTTTGTATTTCAATATTTAAAATTTTCAACACTCCTGGTTTTTTTTTTTTTGTTTTTCTATTTTTATCTAACCCCTGTTACTTAAAGTTAGATAGATCAGCGCACATTGACTTTTGTCGCCTATCTCGCACATGTGACCGCATTTGTCATCACTGCAGCGTGTTGCCTGCCCACATACATATATACATATGTTTGCACGCAATCTCTGAACAAATCAGACGACAACCGCTAACCACCCAAAAACAACAGCAACATCATTGCAAACTCCAATCGCGCACCCACCACCGCGAAGCGAAAGCTTTCATTTCTAGCGGAACTTAGAAAAACCAGCGACGTAAGCAACAACATTATCACCCACATGCTGCAACAATAAAAACTACAGCAACAACACTGGCAGTATTAACCACATAAAACAGCGTCAACGCCCACACACCACACCAAACAACTTTGTGCTTGACTTGGTAGCGCTGCTGAGTCCGATGAAATTGTTTGCATGCGCGTGTGTGTGTGTGTGCGTGTTGAGCATAAAATCGAATTATAACGGTGTCGCTTTTGTTCACTCCAACTGACTTTAGCTCGAGTTTACTCGCACACTCTAGTCCCCACGTACATATAAGAAGTCCATAGTCGTTGAGGTTGTGAGCTTTTTCGCTTTTTTGCCTATTTGCTTTTTTCCTCTTGTTTTTATCTTAAACTTCCTCTTTTTGAATATTCCAGCTTAAGTATGTTGCAGTGATAAGCGCAAAAAGTGTACCAAAAACCGTTAGAGCGACTCGCTGTTGCTCTACTTGTTTTCAAACCTGATTACGTGGTTGCATATGTGTATGCCACGTGGTTGGTTGCAAGTACATATGTGTGGGTGTGCTTCGCCGTGTTCGTGTGGGGCAGCATCCTGCTTTTGCAGATTTTACTTAGTCAGCTTCGCTGGTAATTACAGTGCATTACGTTGTTAAGCTTACATGACAAGCGCACGATTTTCCTTTCTTCTTCCTCTTCTACATGTTCCTCTACTGGTGAGGGGTTGCCAGAGGTTAGTGCCACTTGTGAAAAACTCAGCTGTCTTTCATTTTAAGGAAATGCTTAATTGCGAGTAATGGATATTAATTGAGTTGCTGGAAAAGTTTCAACATGTATAATGGTGAGCGTAAATACATATATTATATAATGTATGTATGTATAGAATATATGCTAGGACTTACAAAAACTCTGCATTTATTTAAAAGTAGATAACTAGAAAATTTCATGAAAATCTTAATTCTCTGTTCCAAATATTATAACTGAGATATAACAGAGCTTTACTAAAGCCTTTCTAATACATGATGATCATAATGATATCTAAGTACATATTGAACTGGAGCCACCTTCAACTGCATCCATGAAAACTTGGATCACTGTGTCGCAGAGGTTACTCGTGGTGACTTTTTCTCTGTTTACAAACCGACGAGGGATATGGGGATGGGGTGGAGTCGCTGGAGAAGAGGCGCAGTGCGTTTTTTACGTATAGGATGAAGCTAGCAGGGAAGGTTGGAGGGGTAGTTTTCTGTTAGGAGCTCTGCCTCAAACTTAGCTATCGGCTACCACACCACTGTAGTGTTCTTCAGGCAGAAGCGGCTACTGTGAACATACTGCTACGAAGTGCAGTCTCTTTCAGAAAGCTGGGCATTCGTTCCGACAGCAGAGCGGCAATACTAGCGCTGAGTTTGCTAACTGTGCGCACAAAGCTAGTCATGGAGTGTTTGTCCGTAATAGGAATAGCATCAGGCTACTTCATCATCAGAATCGTTGGGGTGCCAGGTCATGGAGTAAAGTCGATGAGCTAACAAGAGAAGAGAGGGCACCCTTGCGCCGGTCACATTGAAATGGAAACGAGTTGGAGCTTCATTGGTATCTTGCGTTCTGGCACTGGATCAATGGACCACGCGTGCGCTTAGAAGTTGTTGTTCGACGATCCGCTTCAAGATCGTTTTGGCCTAGAATATCGTAGGAGTTCGTATGGATCATTGTCCAAAAGGCATTCATAAAGTAAGGCTAAAAATCTTGTCGGACGCAATGGACGAGCCTGAGGTGGAAACGTCCAGAGCCTCTAATACCGAACATCGACTGAGGCATAGATGGTCCGCCGGCAATCAACAATTTTTTAAGTTCACGTCACCGATTTGAAGTCTGTATATGTTATATATCGTTGACAAAAACTACATTTCTAGCAAAATTTTAATAGAAAAAAAGTCAAAGTTAAAATTATAAAATTCGTAAAAATTGCCGTACGTAAGGAATGCATCCGACTTTAGAAGTTCAGTTGCGGACTTTTCGCAGTGTGAGCAGCTAACAATATTGGGAGTGTGCGATATCAGTAATCAACAACATAGTCGCTGGCATTTGATTTCAGATGCTATATATGTAGTATGTATTGATCTTATATCAGCAATATAGCGGAAACAATCTTTGGAATTTAAAAGCTGAAATCTTTCTCCGAATCTCGCAACTTTCACTTTGCACTTTTAGAAATATTTTGACAACATGTAAACTCAGGACTATCAGAACTAAAGACTTAAACTCAATAACTATTATACAGAGTACATATGTACATCGCTATATGTATAATATGTATACATAAGAAGACGGAAGTATGTATGTACGTATGTATAAAATACTATAAACATGGAAACCCACTTAACACACCAAAACCGAAGCCGATTCAGCAAGAATAACCGTTTTGCTTTGTATAAAAGTTGAAGTAAAATTTTCGAACAAAGATTCTTTCTCCGCCTTTGCTTGCGGTTGCCATGAAAGCAAACAAAAAAGTGGAGTATAAAAACGGGTTTCATCAACAGGAGCATATAAGACGACGAATAAGAGTATATACATACATACATACTTGTATATACGGCTATACGTGTGTGTTTCTGAAAAACACTGAACTGGTTTTTTTTTACAGAAAATACTTGGCTTCTTTTATTTTTACAGGCAAACCGAACTATTTTCTTTAAACTTGTTTCCTTCCTCTGTGCGAAAAGTATGAAAGAGCATGTGAGGAAAAGTTTGGGAGGCGCAGTGAAAAGGAAGGCGGCAATAAGCACGTGCAAGCTGGCGGAGAGTTAAGCCTTGCTGAGACGTTGGGGAGCTGGCCAAACAAGTGGGTGCATATGTGTTTGCTTAATGGGTTTACGCACGCGTCGGAGAACAAACACAGATACACACACACGTATATGCATAACTACAATATATATATATAATGTATGTGTGTATGCGTATGCTTTAAGCGAAAGCAGTCTGCGTGTGGAGGAGCTCGTTTTTTGCGGTGCCTCAAGCGTCGACAATGGCTATGGGTCACTCCCGCAAGCTGATATCAAAGCGTATTGCCGAGCGATACATATGTATATGCACATACACTCGCACACATACATGCATACATATGCAAAGTGTGGCAAACACATGCCAGCCATTCAGATTTGTTGTTGG